GGGAGGCAAAATTAATTTAAAAAATAAATGAAAATTTTTTTATACATTTTATTTATAGTAAATTATTATATTTCGTCATTATTAAAATTATGAATTAAAACATTACTAACATTTATGTATAATGTACAATTAAAATATCAATGAAAAAATACATTAAGATAAAATAGTCCGATTGTTATTAATGATAGTTTTCATAGATAGCCGTCAGTCGTGCGTTGAGATAATATGTTATGGAAACTTAGTAGATCTATTTTTAGAAACTAATTTATCATTTGGAATTTTACCAATTTCTGTGGAATTAACATTATTCCAAGGGGGGCAAGTTCCCCGTATTGCCCCCCCCCCCTGAAGATTACAATAATATTAGTAATAATAATCAAAATTAAAAGTTCACATAAAATTATGTTTTATCTTTTTAGATACTGTTGGACAGCAACACGACGAACAGCAGGGCTCTGTTAAAGAATTTCGGTCATTGGTTAGGTATTATAACGTTGGCGAGAAATATACCCTTACCGTTTTACGATGGCTATCTAAACTCATTGTTAGCGAAAGCGGCCTGTAAAGGAATCGAAAGACTATCGTGTATTGTTCCGTTCATCGCCAAGATACTTTTGGCTTGTGCCAAAAGCGAAGTATGTTTATATATATATATTTAATGTTAGAAATCAGTAAAATGTTATTTTATTTTAACGAGAAAAAACGATTGATTTAAAAAATTTAATTCAGTAATAACACACTTTTAGTAAGATTTTTTTTATTATGTAATTAGTTTAAATCTCGATTTCATTATTTCTTTAGTTTTGCTATCAGGAGTTATAGATTTATAGATTTATAATGTAGTTACCAAAGCATTGACTGACTACAACAATTTTTTTTTGATAACTGTTAAAACTGTTTATTTTTTTAACTTCTAATTTTCTTTTCTTTTTTCTTATAAACTAATAGGTGTTTGGACCAAAAAGCTTATGGACATTAAGCATATTAAGAAGTCTTGCAGAACTTCACAAACAACCGGGTTTAAAGTTAAACATACAGTTTGAAATCGAAATACTCTGCAAATCTTTAAACATCGAATTAGGGGTGAGTTTTATCGAATAGCTAAATAGCTTATTTATCCATTCAAAAAAAAAGAAAAAAAAACCTATTGGTAAAGAATTAACAAGTTTCAGATGCTTTCCCTAAAGAATCCATAACCTTACTTCACACTTACCTTCATAAGTACCACTGTTCTTTTATTTTTGTTACTTTACACTTGACGAATTTCTAACTCGGCCACAATTTTGATATCATTTACTTCGATCTAAATCTGTGTTTAAAATTGAATAAGCTCATCTTAAAAAAATATAAAAAAAAGAGATATAAAGAGAGATATAAAGGTTAATGGTAAAGATAAACCAGCATTACTGGAACTTGACCGGCACTCAGATCCTCAATTAACAATGCATTTTAAATTTCAGGATTTGAAATCCGGGCAGATTTAACACGAAGATAAAACAGCAGTTTAATATGATATGTTATCGCAATACTATTTGAACATTTATTTTTTATTTGTTCAGCCATATATAATAAAATAATATATAATGTACAGAATGTTTCTTAAATGGTTGAGGAACCTAGTATACGCGAACTTTCTGAAATGGCCAAATGAAGAATCTTTTGAAATTTTTTTTATCTTCAAAACCTGGGTTAGGTTAGGTTAGGTTCTTATGAACATTTAACTGTATACTAAAACACACCAATTTCAGTGACTTCGTGTAAAGATAACAAACAAGTGAACTTATTATCGATATTCTGTGGAATACTACCAATGCAATCTGTAAAAAGATTCGACAAAAAATTTAAAAAAAAAAATTGATATAGATTATCCAAACATTATAAAAGAATACAATCGGTGCATAGGTGGGGTGGACCTATTTAACCGTCTTATTGACTGATATAAAATTCGAATGCGGTCGAGAAAATGGTACATGAGAAATATTTATCATTTAATCGATACATCTGTAGTGAACTCGTGGTTATTATATAAAAGGGCTAGAACACAAATTGGACAACCTATAGAATATACTCTTGTGGCGAAAAACTTTAGCTCATACATTAACTAATATTGTATATGTCCAGACTACGACTAGAGGACAACAGTGTTTGAAAAAAGAAATAAATAAGAAAAATAGGGCACGACCAACCCCTTTGCCTTCTCAGGATGTAAGCAAAGACTGGATTGGTCATTGGCCGGATTCAGTTGTAAAAAAAGGACGATGCAAACATCCCAATTGTTGTGGTTACACATATTTTAAATGTATTAAATTTAAGATATATTTATGAAGAAAAAAAAATTGTAACTGTTCGTTGTGACAAATTATCATACTATGTAATTAACCAATTTGCGTGTTTATATTTTATAATCCAACAGTTAAATGTACTTATTATAATCTGAAACTTATGTGCAATTTTATAATATAATTCCAAGGTGTGATATAAAACAATTAAGTGAGAAATATTATAATATTAACTTTAGATGATTGTTCCTATATAATATACTATAAATATGTTAAATTAAATTATTAAGTATAATTTTAATTTTAAAAGGTTATTTTATCAATAATAAATATTTTGTGTCATGTTTTAAAGTATAGAGGAAAAAATAAAAAAAAATTGATCTGAATTAATTATAATGTGTTACAATTATTAATTTATGTTACTCTTATGTGTAATGTTGTAAATATGCATCAAATCTGAAAATCTTAAGTACTCGAGAGAATATTTAAGTAGGATTTCTTTTAATATTTTTACCTAAATCTGCCGCTTAAAATAAATAAGAAATAATTTTTTTTTTAAACGAAAAATCGCTCATTGAAGGGTTACATCTGTATATATAAAACAGTAAGCTGATTGACTGCTATCAACGCACAGCTCAAACCATTGGATGGATCTGGCTGAAATTTGGCATACAGATAGCTATTATGATGTAGACGTGCGCTAAGAAAGGATTTTTCGAAATTTTGAATTTAAAGGGTTGAAATCGGTAAAAGAAAATTTTTACATGTAATTTGTATTATTAAACCTAACTAACCTAACCTAAAGGTCCTAAGTCGGCGTTAACGCGTTGTCGGTGGATAGAGCCGCGGTAGCACCGTTGTCGTTTACTGTGATCTTGGCAGGTTACATACATTTATGTATGTATGTATAGGTAATTCAGCTAGTATAATATAAACTTGTTTTCTGTACCGTAGTCTAAGAAAATGTCTAAGTACTTCAAGTATATTCTTGTACAATATACACTCGGTACCGGTACAAATTCCTAATTTTAAAAGTATTATATATAATATTATAATGTCGTACCAGGTCGACACACGTACAACAATTTCTATAGTTCTTCACGCGTTAATCCGTCCGCCGTGAAAAAAAAAATCTGTCAACCATACACCCGAGAACTTCATTGATCGCCCAAAATGGCTCAAGGACCACACACGACACCAGAAACAGAACGTAGCAAAGAAGACATTGGAACCAGTAGAGGTCGTGCCTGCCACGCATATGAACCAATAAACGCACGTTCCCCATCGGTGGCAACGAACAATCCTTGGACGCAATTTTCAAAATGTCGTTTTAAACCTGATTTTACTCCCTGCTTTTTAATTAATTTGTGTATAAAATCATACATGTTATTTAAATTATAAGCAATATTAAGAAATAAAAATAAAATATTTCTCGTAAGATCTTGTTTTAAAAATAAAATCAATGAGTAGTAGATTAAACGAAATATATTACAAAAGATAGGAAAGAATGGTAGAAAATGAATGTACAACGATTTGCGAGTGGTTTTTTGCGAATTATACCACGTTTCCATAACAAATGTATGTTGAAGATCTGGTCGAGTATATTCTGTATTATTATTAATATCAAAAGATTTATAAACTCAGGTTACAAAAAATCAACGTTACACTATAACTCAAGGGCGTACCCAAAGGGGGGGTTTCGGGTCCTGATCCCCCTATTGAAATTTCTACATACTCAACGATTTAATAGTAAATATTATAGTAACAGTATATAGTGTATTTTAATTTCCTATTATCTTCAACATACAAAGTTTATAGGTAATTTATATAATATACCTATAATGTATAAACTATACTATAATATATTAACAGTAATTTGTTGGTATTGAGTTAAACTATAATTATAATTAGAGAATAGATTGACGCGGCACACAGGTGACGGGGTTGTATGCACGGTCGCGGTGTGGTGAACACGGTTCGAATAATATAATATCAATAATAAAAAATCCCGGATTTGTGGTGACACAATATATATATATATATATTTAAAGAAACAGGAAATAATAATAATAACTAATAATAATAATAATAATAATAATAATAATAATGCACACCAAGAAAAAGTATAAGTATAGTATGTGGCAGTGGTCACAACGACAAAAAAAAAATAAAGACAAAGACAGTGGAGCCGTGTCTCGTTACACGGTCTCGGATGGATAGCCCGGTTCAGATGGTGGTACCTGTCGGACGTCGTAGCGACCGCTCGCGTCCCCTGTCCGGTGATTGATGGGAGGACGGGGTATCGCTGTGACGTTGCGTGCCGCGGAGTGGTGGTTGATGAGAGAGATAAGGGCACGGTCGGCGACGGCCGTTTCGGTAACGGCTGCCGCACGGGTCCGCGTCAAGATAAAATAAAACTTTTGAACACCTCCCCATAAAAAATTCCTGGTTACGCTCCTGATTGACGCTATTGTATTGTGGACTGTGGTTTCTGGTCCGTCGAAATAACAATAAAATCGTATAGAGTATAGACTATAGCGTGATGACTGATTTATAAAAGCAAATCCTCTACCACTCGCGGAAACTTTTGATTTTTGAACCAATATGGCGGTTAGTAAATTATTCGATACTATTTATTCGATATCAGTATTTTTATATCGATATAAGTAAAGTATCGATACTTTATTGGTATCAGTGTTATCGCAACGTCCCTAGTACGTTTTGATAATGGTTAGTGCTGTTCGCGTGTACACCGATTAACCTATTTCGTTAACATTTCCCACTTTGCAGTGATCGCTGTCTGATGTCGATACTGAAGGTATTATTTCTGAAGTACGTACATCTTATACTTGATTCCAACAATCTTAACGAAATTAATAAAAACATTACTAGTTTTCAAAACATTTCACATTTTTTTTAAATTTATCCTTGGCGGTTTGGACTTCATGAAGGTAAATTATTTTAAAATCATTATTAAAATGCGCTCATAATTTGTTAGCTGTAGTAACTTTTACCCGCAGCAACTAATAGATATGTTTTATTATTTTTATGTTTGTTTCCCAGATGCATAATAAAGATATGATCAAATCTAGTTGGGCTGATCAAGTAGAAGACCAATCGGAGAAAACAACCTTACCTCAACCAAAAGTCGAACAACATGGCAATTCTAAAATTATTACTGAATATCGTTGGAACAAAGATGATAAAAAAGAAAAGGTAGTTCGAACATATAAAATCGAACGACGATTAGTGTCCAAAACAATAGCTGAACGTAAAACATGGCCTAAGTTTGGAGATTCACGTAATGATAAACCTGGACCAAATACATCTACAACAATTCCAGCCGAAGAAATACAAATGCAATTTATGTCTGGAAAGGATGGTGATAAGGTCGAAGAAAACCCATTAGACAAATTGAAGAATGTAAATATGAACATTAAATGTCGAAATTGTGGAGGAGAGCATTGGTCCTTTTCATGTCATCTCAAAGGTACAGGTTTGGTAATAGAGGATAAAAAATTGGTTCCAGAAAAAGTAATAGAACCTGAGAAAAACACTAGCACCAATAGGTATGAATACTGCAACAAACTAATATCATATTAAGAAGGTTTTACATCTTGATTTATCTGAATTGTCTTGTTTGTCTTTCTCACAAGGAAACTTAAATATTTAATTGAAAACATTGATTGTATTTATATAGTAATTTTAAATATTGAATTCAAAAGTAATTTTCTACTAATATTTTGATATTATTTAACAATATTTATAATTAAAAAGATTCTGTAGTCAGGTAAAATTAACTAGTTAATGTTTTCATTTAAATAAAATGTTAATTATGAGTACATTTTAAATTATTCATATATTATTAAATTAGTACTTAATTTAAATATAATAATGACAGTGGTTCCCAAAATTTTGGTTCACACATCCCCATAACAAAAAAAATTTATTCATGCCTCCCATGAATAAACAAAACATTTTTTTATTATTTTAATAAAAGCAAATTACTGTTGATCTAAAAATAAATGTATGGTAGTGTAATATGCAATACAAATATTTGCCTTTCGCCTAAAAAGTGTTTGTGCCTCTATAAGGAGACATGCCTCACATTTTTAGGAACCACTGGTCTATGAAATACAAAGATTTTAAATGTTGGTTTTCATATTCAAATGTGACAGATGTAAATATTCTTATTAGTTTTAATTTTAAATATAATAATTATTTTTTTCTAGACCATATATTCCACCATCCGCAAGAGAAGGAGCTACCAATACAGCTGGAAAACGAGATCCATACGGACGGGGTTATGATGAAGTACCAGCCATCCGTATTGAAAATCTGTCTGAGAGTACATCTGAAGCTGATTTGAGTGAATTAGTTAGCAAATTCGGTCAAGTTGCTAGAATTTTCTTAGCTTCTAATAAAATCACTGGTGCTTGCAAAGGATATGCATTTGTTAACTTCAAAGCCAAAGTGGATGCTGAACGTGCAATCAAGGGATTGCACGGTTACGGATATGATCATCTAATTTTAAATGTTGGGTGGTCCACTAATAATTATAATAAGACTAGTTACTAAATTATTATAATTTGTTAAAAAAAATGTATATCATAAAGGGCTTTCAAATTTTAACTGAATACAATATTTTTTATTATAATAATTATTTAGATGTATATACATTTATATGGATTTGCCCATTATAAAAATATATATATTTTTTTAATTTCATTACTTACTACTGAGGCAAATATATTTTGTTCTTTTAAAATAATAGATTGAATGAAAATCAAACCTCATAGTTTATGATAAAGCTGGAATTTTGAATGTATTCATTTTATTATTATTTAGTTAAACAGTAAAAATAAGAAAATAAAAAAACTTAATTTTTTTATTTTCTGTAGATTAATTATTGAGTAATATTACAGTAAGTTTAAACCAATTAAAGCAATTTGTTTATTCAGTTTTCTTATAATTAGCATCCAATTTTTTTGAAGAAAAAATGAAAATGTATTACAGTTATAATAAAAATTGAAAGACTTAAAAATTTGTTTTTGGTTATTCTATTATATAGATGTAAGGTGAACTTATATAATAATGATTGAAGGTGTTATACATATTCTATATATTCATATTCTGTATATTCTAAATCAATATTAAGTTTTCATTTAAATGTTGGAGGTGGAATGCTGTTGATGTCCATTCGAAACCAAGGGCATATTTGAGTTGTGGCCATGGGGGGAGGGTGAAAATAATAAACAGTTCATTACAGTGGCGTACCCAAGGGGGGAGGGGGTCTGGATACTCCAAACAAAAATCAGAACAATTTTTAAAATTATAGTTTTTTCAAATCGACTTATAATTTCTTCAAGTTAAACACATATTTTTTGATTTTCATGCTATTTATAACGCATATTTTAGATTTTTTAAGTGCATATTTAAGAGCTAAAAAGTAACATTTTTAGTGCTACAACTTCCGAGCCTTAGTTAATATTGTAAATTATTATTTTGTTAAATATTATTGGTTTTCACCGACCGTTTTTCAAATATGAATTATATTAAAAATAAGTTCAGATCCCGGCTAATCAACAAACATCTTGAAATGATTATGAAGATAGATAGCATGCACTTACCAGACCCCCAATTTTAAACAGTCGAGAGCAAGATTTGTTATTTTTCTTAACAAATGTCTATTTTATTTTTATTTTTAATTTTTTAAATATTTGAATATTAATTATGTCTTAATATTTAAAAAACATTAGCAAATAATAAATAAAATAAATAACGTTATCATGGGAGTAACCGAATTGGTTCCCGTTTGTGTACAGGTAAAATAAAAACAATTTTAATTTTTAAAATAATTTACTTACAATATTAAAAATTAAAATCTAGCGGGCCAGTGCATAAAGAGCAAAAAACAAAATTTTAAAAACTATATGATATAATAATAGTCACAATTTTCTGTAACTTATAATAAATTATAAAAGTGTAAAAATAACATTTGTATACCTAATGCAAACAATAGGTTCTATAGATAATTAATTTGATAGCTGACATTATTGTTAAAGTTACACGCGTCCATACGTACGCATCGTACGGATCGTATAAAACGGATTTTAGAATTATTAGTATAGTAAGTTATACACATGCGTCCACTGACCGGCAGGGGACGGATCGCACGTATCGGTCCGTCGGTAATGCCGACGAAATTGATCGAAGGGGCAACTTTTCCGATTGGTGCGGATAACGTCATACGGATTTCGCTACGATAATGCGAATGTTACTAAAAAAACCGACCGTCGCATCGGCAATATGATTGCTATCGGTACAGTGGACACACTATCACAATTTGATCCGTTTCATACGATCCGACCGATACGTACGATCAGTGGCGTAGCCAGGATTTTTAAATGGGGGGGGGCTAACCACTTTTTTTGGATAGGTAAGGTAAGAGAGGATATGAGAATTCACCCTTGACCCCCCCCACCATCTACCACCAAGTTTCTAAACGTAATTCAAGCATTTTAGTATATTTCTAAAAATATTTATGAATATATAATTTATAATAATAATAATAATTTTGGTTTCAGTGTTCAGTCACTTGCTCCACTCTGACAGCTGCATCTTCTTAGATGAATTTCTGGCAAATTCAGTTATTATTTCACTTTCATCGAATTGCTCTTTTATATTTATATTAGCCATAACTAACCCATTCAGTCTGTTTTCCGACATAGTGCTTCTTAAAAAAAATTTTAAGCGATTAAGTGCTGAAAACGTTCTTTCCAGAGTGAAAGAGGTAACTGGTAACGTGGCGAATAATTGTAAAAGTATTTTAATGTTAGGTCGAAGATTGGTGTGATAAGAGAGTGAATCAAGAGCAGTATATAATAGTATTTTGACTCCATTGTTGCCTCCATATGATCAGGTCAGCTCTGATTGTAGATGAGGTATCATCATGGAGATCTTGGACATATATTTTAGCAGCTTTTATAATATTTTTATCGTCATACATATTCAAATTGGCCGGAATAAGTCCTTCAAGTGGCATAACATCAATAAGCCTTTGATTAAAACGAACATTGATTCTATTAAATAGTCAAGATACATTATACATATAAACACGGCTCATGGGGAAGGCTATAGCCCCCTTAGCCCCCTCCCCTTGGCTACGCCACTGCGTACGATGCGTACCTTAAATCAACCCATTAGTATTGTATCTGAATATTTAAAGGTTAAAGTGACGGCTGAATTGATAATAAGAACATTCTAAATTTAGATTTTACCACAGGAAAATTATTTTTTCCAAGTATAATGATTAAGGACAATTATTTCTTATTTACATCAATATTTATTATTTTCGATGTTCACACTTCCATACGATTGTATTTACATTTATTTTCTTATAATTTCTGCTCCAACCGATGTGAATCTATTACTGGCAATGGATTTGTTTCCACCTGACGAAGTAAGTTTAACTTTTCAACGGTTTTTTGATTATTTGGTACTTAATTTTTAAATTTACTATACTATATATTACAGTTTGTTTATCATCCTTTCGTGGATTCTTTGGAGACAACGTCGTCACAGATTGACCTAACTTAACGAAAATAAATTACCTGATCCACAGAATTATTCACTGACAGATATTTCATTTTGCAATAAAACTAATCAGGGTCCAACAAATGTTAGACAAGTAGAAGTTTTATATAAGAATCATAGCAAATATGGTAAATATAAGCCTATGTAATGGACGATTGAAGTGAGTTGAATCAAATTCAAATATTTTCTAATACAATTTTAGAGTTAATCATAATACTTTCATTAACTATTAATTAATTTTTTTCCCCACTTACTATTATCTGAGAAATATAATTTATATAAATGGTAATGGTTAAACATAAACTATTATAATAATAATAACTAGATATAATTTTAAAGTAAATTATTTAAAAAATGGTTTTTTGTTAATAATTTAAAATAATTTAATGTGTTTTATAGAAATATTGGATTAAGATTAATATACCTAATATACAAAGGCTAAATAAAAAATAAAAATAACATACCTATAGGTTACTGATTTTTTTTTCACTTGACATTTTATTAGTTTTGATATTGTCCATTATTAAAAGATTGCTATCACAGTACAATGCAACTGTTGTTATTATTAACACAATGACAATTTTAAAGCACCTATTGAAATTTAGCCATTTAAATAAACCATAAATAAATAAATGAAAATTTGTGAAATTAAAATGACTGAAATTATTAAATATACATTATCTTGTATTTTGTTTTGAAAAATAAATTACCTATATAGGCATCCAAATTCATAAATATTTACTTATAAAATAGTCAATTAAGTATTATTTTTTTTTTACCTACACTTATTGAATGAAATACATTAAAAAAATTAGATACTTAATTGAACATTTTAGTTAAAATACAAATGATATATTAAATTCCATTGCAATAAATATTAATAATTACAATGTCATAATAATAGACACTATTAGAAAAATTGCATACAGCAAATGATGGTAGATATGTACTTGCGGATTCAAAAAAAAATAATGGGTTTTTATCTGATGAAGCTTAGAACATATTGACTCAACTTTTAATAAATCATCTATTCCAGGACCAGAGCAAGTTTGAATAAAACATATTTACTTATTATATTTAAAATATTTAAATTGGTGATTTTTCAAAATATTACAGAGGTAATGTTTTATTTTTTCGAAAAATATCTGATTTGATAGTGCAAATATTTCCTAAAGAGCATAAGATAATAAATCAATATTTACCCAGTACTTATAGATAAAATTAATTTTACCTCAGATAAAAAGTTTTCATTTTGATTTTGAATTTAGAGTGTTTACTTGATACCAGCAAGGTCAGAGAGACCAACTCATACTAAAAGAAAACTTATAGAAAGGTGAAAGAATGTAGCTAGGCGTTTAAGGGCAGTTGGTGCTATAAGTTCTGCTTCAGTTGTAAAGAATTTACAACTATCAGCTATAGATATTTCATTTTCTGGTACCTACTTAAAATTTAATGCAAATATATTATCGTTATTCTTATAACTTATTGATAATATATATTTTAAATTGTACACGCTATAAAAGATACAGTGGCTATTAAACAATGGTTAGCAAATGAAGGGTTGACAGAAAATTTTGACATTGTTTTGTTCAAATGGCAGTTAACGTATGAGCTGCGAAAACATGAAATTTTAGGGTCTAGCAATCAATATTTAGCAGACTTTTTTGAATCTTAGCCTGTACTTCAGTGTTCGAATGGTTATAAATTAGTATGTTTTTTATCAGTTTTAATAAATTCTATTAAATAAAGAAATGTTGATTTCTAAACAAATTGATCAATGTATTTCGAACTATAATATAATACGAGTTTCATCTAAATAATAATGATATTAGGTTATTCAGATATAAGAAATGCTATAGAATATTTTGTTGACTTTTAAAAGCTTGCAGTTAAACACAACTGATGAAATTAAATGGTCTATTAACATTAATGCTTCCCTAAAATTAACAATCTACAACATATATGTTAATTGCTATTATTGTAAATTATATTTTATTCTTGTACAGCACTTCGTGTTCGCTGTGTCTAACTAGCTTTTTAAAATGTTTATATGTACGCCTAATAAACATATTTAAACCATATAAAATTTTTAAATGCTCTGCATTATCAAAAATCATGATTTGAGCTTAATATGTTTATATTATTTAATTAATATTTTACTATAAAATAATATTTTAATTCGTTATTCATTTATTTTACTAATAACTATGTCTTAAATTAAAAGTTTCTTTTCTTTTTTTTTTTTTTGTATAAGTTGAAGTGGAAAAATCCTATTTTAATTTTTAAGCATAGTTTTACTTTGTTAATGAATATAATTAATATAATTACAATCAAATTATTTCCATATATCACCTATACATATTTTTTTATTTATATTTACATCATTTATTTTACTATATTAGTATTTAGTAATGTATCAACATAGTAAGTAAAATATTATGATTGAGATCATTGTATTATTGTTAGTATTGTTGCATATTTTGTATTAATATTTATTGTAATTATTATTATTTTAGATTTAAAAACAGTAAATGTTTTAAAATTACTTTTAATTCCTTATTTGATTCCAACAAAAACATTGATGAAAAATATTTTACCTTCTGGAAAAAATAAATTTTGGAAGCCTTCATTGTTAGAATCATCTTCTGCATTCACTTTTTTTTGCACTGTAAGTTTCTGATTTAAAATTAGTTTATGAATAAATGCATCCTAATATTAATGTTGAATTTATTTAGAATCTGATTGGTCTTCAAGAAGATATTGATAAGAGGCGTTTAAAATATAGTCAATATGGAGCTACAAACCAGCTTTATATAATTTTTGTTGGAAAAGATTTCAGCTCCATTGATTCTTGTTACATTAAGGTAAAGTTATGGTGTTTTGACAGTCCTTTAAAAGCACTTAAAATTTGTTTTAAGTCATATTTGGTATTTAATTGTGCTTATCCTGTGGAAAGTTATGACTCTTGGCTTATAATTCAACAACACTTATTGAAATTGTTCACCAAATATGATAAATCAACTTCTATAACTACTTCTATCACAGCTAATTTTAATTCATAATTATTACCTTTTATATTTTGATTTTAATTTCATTTTTATTGTTTAAGAATAGGGAATTCTTAACTTATTATATTTATATCAACACAAGGCTTAAATAGTTATATAACAATTAGTATATTATTACTACTATTATTTTTTAAATTTTAATAAGTTTAAATAAACTTTATTATGTATTTATGTTCCATCTGTTCATTAAAATGTCTTAAAATTAACCAACTTATTTTGCATTTAAAAATATATCATCATTATGGTAGGTACTCATTATATACATGTAGGCAAGACTGTTGTGTGACAGATGTTCGAGGATAAATTTAGAAAACATTTAATGAAATTTCATACTTCTCCAGTAACTACTACCTGTATAGAAATAAATAATATAGGTAATAGAATCATCTGATACCATTAATAATAATTTATCTGAACATGAGCAAATGCTGATTATTTTATAATTTATTGTATACATTATATTATATTGTTATTTATTTTAATTAATTGTGTATTTTTGTGACATAAAATAAAACAAAATTATACCCAACCAAAGAGTTAAATTATTTACCTTCTGGATTTAATGAAAATATACACTTTTATGCATAAGTGTAGGTACATGTACACATGCAAGTAAGATACCACAACCAAAATGTTGGTTTCATGATGTTATTTATACAATATTGTCTTATGGTGTTATGTATGTATTATAAATATACTATATTATATAACGAATCATGATGGTGTGGCACAATAGACATAGACAAAATGTATGCATTTCATATATGGGCATCAGTATTAAGCCACATCCGCACTAGTAAAAATTTACACTGTGCGTTGTATTCGGCGCAATTTTGTTCATGCTGCACTAAATATGTGCGTGAGTAGCGCAATCAGGAATTTTTCATGGGGGGTCTGACAAAATAAACTAATATACAAATAATAAAAAATTATAATATATATATTTAGAATATGGTATTAATATACTATTATACGTACCAAGGGGGGTCCAGACACGGAGTCCACCCCGCTAGTTGCGCCACTGATGTGCGTGTGTGGACGTGTTCGCTGCATAAGAGCACACAAATATTTTCGACGCATTCCACACACAATCCGTGAGTTATGGGTTTTTTGAGCATATATTTTCTGCGTAAATATTTGCGGTGAATTCTATGTTTGACGCACAATTTAAATTTTTACTAGTGTGAACACAGCTTTAGATAGAAACAAAATTGGTGTTTAGAACTTATTAATGATTAGAGATCATTTCTCACCACCCTGAAGATTCATCGATATATTGTTTATTCCCTAACTCATTATATCAACATCACTTATACTTATTGTAAAAAAAAAAAAAAGTATTAAATAAGTTTCGTTGACATTTAATGAAGTGAATATTAATTTTAAACTGTTATTTTTACTAATTACTTTGAACGAACGAATATAGAGTCAATGCAATAAAAAATGTATGTTATATTAAAATTGTTGACATTTAATAGAGTGAATAAAACTATTAAAATGTGTTATTTCTACAAACAGATTAAAAATTACCCTTATTACAAATGTAATCAATACAACGTAAAATATTTGTTAAAATTAATTTACTTTATACATGTTTTTTTGACAATAAGTGGAATTAGAATAACCTATAATTTTTGTTATTTTTAAATTTGTTATAATTGTCATTGTGATTAATAACATAGTTATTTTCAATACCGTTGATGTTTTATATACAAGTATAGAACGAGCAGTTCTCAAACAAATTTAAATAGTTTAATTGTTTTGTTTTCAGAGAGTATTGTATTGGAGGTAATTAATATCGATTATATAATTAAAGGGTTTGCTTTCCAAAAAGAAAGAAAAAATTATTCATACAAATAAAATTTTTATTTTGTCCCTGAAATATATTTATGTGTGGGTCATCAATATTTTGATTATGGTTGTGGGCCCCAAATTATCATAATCCGGGTTTGGTTGTATTTGTAGATAGTTATATTCTAACATGCACTATGGAATAATAATTTTAGTAAAAATCGTTTTGAAACTTAAATGAGAGTGTATAAAAACTTTTTCAACTTTAACAGATCTTAATATTTCATCGGTTAATGTTATTCATAATTAAAATTAATAATTTTAAATAAAAAACATTCACATTTAAATAATATTCTTTTGCGGCATATTACGACAGGAGCAACGATGAGACAATTCATGTCCAATATTACCTGATATTATACATAATCTATGTCCAATATTACTTGTCTTATTCTATTTATGTTTGTTAAATATTGTCATTCTTACAAATTATATTTTTTATAATTCCTGTCCATTATATATATTAATACTAATAAAATAAAAAAATAAATTATAATTTATTTTTCTTTAATTCTTAAAATGTTATTGAATATTAAAACATTTTATTTATTTTACATATCATAGTAAACAGCCGAAATATAAGAGCCGATCCAGAGTGAAACAAACTTACGATAGACAAACACAAACCTACATACTCCCACGAATTCTGGTACGTCGTTTTTCTTTTGAATAATAATTGTAATTATAATTAAATCAATTAATATTATATTTTTTAGTTACTTTTTTATTTTTATATTTAATTCATTACCTTTTTAAACTTACAATAATTAGGTATTCTAAGTTATGTAAATAATATTTTTCGATTACTTAAATCAATTTTTTTCATTCAACATTCATTTAAATTATTAATACTCTAAATTTATTAATTAAATAGTATTAGTAATTTTTTTATTATTATTAAATACATTTTTTAAATTTCGTCTGAATAAGTAATCTCTAGACTTCTGAATAGCTCTTTATTTTTTTTTTTTTTTGTCATTAAAGCATTCATTTTTGTTATAATTTAAAGTATAATGTTTTGAATAATATTTACTTATGTTTTCTTTAGTAAATATATAATGTTTAAAATTACAATATAAATTATATTTCCCTCGGCCTCCAAGCACTAGGAAACTGAGCATTTTTTAACGTACTTCTTTTATCGCGATTGAGAAATATTTATGAATATTATTTATTGTTATAAGACATAATTTTCAATATTTAATCCATATTTCAAATAAAAATACATTGTTGTATTTGTAGATAGTTATATTCTAACATG